TTCTTTTATGACATAGTATTTGAAATGTCTTGCAATATGCGTTCTGAGTGTTTGTAAAAAATGGTTATTCATGTTGTTACTGCCTATCTCTCTGTCACTGTGCGCTCTCTGCACACAAATTCGCTCCGACAAAGGGCTAACGCTTGAAACATCAGCTTTTGAATCTCATTACAGTGGCCAATTCACATTAACAACCCAGTTTATAAAACCAAATTACCTCTGTCACTGCATTTGATAAAATGTAAGGAGAAACATAATGTACCATAATTATTATAAATTCCAGTTTGATGAAAATCCTGTTAAAGAAATTTTAATAACCCACAATCCCATCTTTCATGGTCATGCAAATAGAGATTCTAAATTTCATGGTCTTTCTCACTGGTGCCCACGGATTTTCCATGAAACTTGAATTGGCATGACTATTACAGAAATTAGGGGGCTCTCAAGTCAACTTTTTGCAAGTTTTTACTGCCTGTCTCATGGTCATTGTGAACATTGTCACTGAACAAAAACAATCTGCTTTCATCACATGGTAAGATTACCTGTTTGTCTCGCACTTCATGGAAGAGTCCCCTATGCACTCATTTGAACAAAACACAATCAAGTTTTACGTACCTCAAAACCAAAGTTATAACACAGGTGCATGGTTTCTGTGTAAGTTTGATAAACCATGGCCTTCTCTGTCTCTTCCATTTCAAACATGCTATCAAGATCCAAGTTCTCATCAACTCTTTCCACAGCACTGACAATTCCTTCACGGAGAGTGAGACATGCATCCTACAGAAAGTTATTTCCTTTGTTGTAAACCAAGTTTGAACACATGTAGTAATCAAAATCATGGTTAGTTGTACGTAAGACTTGCTTTCAACATTGTGGAGAAAATAACTTTTGAGAAATTAGGAAATATGTATAGTCCACTCTGCCACCATAATATAAAATGCAATTTAGGGTAAGCAGAATCAGTAACAGTCCTGGTCAGAATCCTTCTACAGTGGACATCTATGTCAGGGCAACCTGGAGGATTGGGTGGGTAGGGTGGGGGGTTGCAAGACCCTCCTGAGCTTAATGTTCCTGCCGCTTTGTTGCTTTCTTGTAGAGCCTTATTCCCACACCCTCCTCTGACTCTGCCACTGACTCTGTCACTGTCTAATAAATTGTTGCTGTGTTAATGGTTGCTATGAATACATTCACACTTTACAAGCAACATCACCCTTACAAGTAGACGAGTTTCACACTTGCTTAAGACACATCAACCAGATCAATTTGTCATAGATACCAAACCAATGTTTACGTCAATGTTGAAACCATTCTAATGTCTCTAATAGGCTGAAGAAGAGTTCTACAAAAAACAACAAAAAAACAAACCTGCAGTTCATCAAGAGCTTCTGAAATGGCCTGATGGCTTGATGTTCTTGGCTTGACAATGCTGACTGATAAACTCATGCTCTCCAGAAACAGTTTACGCTGAACATCCAACTCCTTGGAGTTATGTACCACCAATATCATACCCCCAACCTGAGACATAAAAGATAAAAAAATTAACAAACACATACACTGTCTGTCAGGAACAAGGTGAAAGGATTGGAATGCACTAAATATAATTCAATAGTTTTATGCAAGAGAAGTTTTAAATGTGCAGACGTTTACAGCAGAACAGAATTTTTTCCTCAAATTTTTGATGAAGCATTCATTGTCTCATAATATTTCCAAGTTTTATTATTCACTCAAACAACTGTTGTTGTGCCACCAAAGTTGTCATGCTATCAAAGTGTGAAGTGAGATCGGTTGCTAGGCAACTATGAAACCAAAACGGCACGCTCAGTCCAATCTCACAACAACAATTCACCATCAACCAGTTGCACTTTCCATTTGACTAAAAATTCAGGTTTGAGTTCCTGAAAATTTTCAGTGGAGTATTTCTGAAAAAAAGAGGACAACCACATGGGGTATACAACAATATTTGAAAATGTTTGACCAAGAATTTCCCTTCCAGTAATTTTCCTCCCAGAATTGGCAGAATTTTAGGTTGAATAGTTTGCAGTTCAGAAATTTGACAATTTTTTGCACTTTACAGAAACCCTCCAGGGAAATTTCTATTCCATTTGCACCTGTTTCGTTCCAGAAGTTTTGGTTTAATAGAAAGCACCCTCTGGTACTGATCCCTAACTGCATTCAGGACATTTATATCATCTGGAACATCAGTTCCATCACAAAGAGCGACAAAAAGCAGGTCAGGTAGATCTTATCATGCCAAGACAGCAGGGAGATAAAAAGTCTCTAACATGCATGATATTACCTGTATATCTGCTAGACCAATGGCAGCATCCATCGTCGGATTGACCACCACCTTCTTGCCGTTCCATGACACTGGTGTCTCGTTCCCACTATCTGCATCACACGATGGCATGATCAGGAGGTATCCAGAACAGTCAGAAACAACTTGGTCGCCAAATTCTTCTTGAACACAGCAGGAATTCAAGAGGTGGATGATTTGGCTGTAATGGCAAGGAAACAATGCAGAATCAGGTATTAATTAATTAATTTCCATATTGTAAATGCCAAGGGTTTCATTAAGGCAAATTAACTGCCTGGGCCTGTGATGTTGCTCGCTTGGTTTGACTATCTAGAGGAAAGATTTTGTTGTAAAAGAAGTTCAGTTCAAAACGTTTTGCCACCCATGAATACCAGTTGCTCTCCTGCTGAATTAATGAAACCCCTGAAATGCATTGTAAAAATGATTATGTTTCTATTTATTAAATTATCTCACTGTTTTATGTTTTGTGTTTGTATCACCAGCATAATTATACCAAGGATGGAGCAGGCTGTGAATGAACTTGACGAATTTCCCCAGGGACTAAGGGAATCATACAGTTCAAAGAGCAGATACTGTATCCAATATCATTATTACTGAACAGTAACAAACTAATATTTTAACACCAGTTACACAAACCATTTCTTTTTAACCATGGCTCTTGGCACAAACATAAACAGACCAGCAGTGTGTCTTGCCACAACCTGGAAAACAGTAATATTACAAATTGTTGTTAGTATTCATTTGCCATTTGACTTGAAACATCATCATGTAAACTTGAGTTTCCTTTAGCCCTATGCATTGCTATAGATCCAACCAAACAACAGAGCACTAGAAAGCATGCTGAATTGACAATCAGTCAAACAAAACTAAATTAAAACCTAGCATCACTTCCAAGGCTTACGCATGTTAACAAGTAACTGGTGCTGAGTGAAAACTCACTTCTGTCAGCTTCTGACTAGCCCACTGTGATAAATTTCCAGTCAAGAATTGCGATAGTTTTTGGTTTGTTCATGATTGCAAATTAAAATACATACGTGTTGCCCCTCTATTAGGATAAGCTGCTTCCTATACTAACTAACCACATGGAAAAAGAACTAGAAAAATGTTTGACAACAGTAGAAAACAAAAACAACAGCAACAACGACAACAACAGAAAAATGTTTCATTGCTATCATCAGTGCCTGCCTCTACTAATCTGTATTGAATAGTATTGAATAACTTTTGACAACAATAAATCTGCTCAAAGGGTTAATCATTTAAAAGATTCTATACCTGTACATGTCCACTGGCTTCCAATCTCATCAACAACTCATACATGGGGACATCAATGCTGAACTTTGCAGCATTTTCTAGGTCATTTCGAAGTTTCTTGGTGAAGCCAAGGGCTTTAGAAGCCCTTTCTCTCGCCTCATTAAACAGGTGTTTAAAACCTCGGCAAGCTTCTAGTACCTTCCGTCTGTCCAAAAAACAACCCAAGAATGAATGTAACCTTGTCAGAATCCATCAAATCAGTACAACCAAAAATGGCAGAACGGGCTACCCCCTCTCCCTAATAAGGTAAGTGACCTTTCAGGGATTGGCATTGATGGGGTATTCTCTGAACAGTCACTGGCATTCCTCCAAGTGTCATTCCCAAGTGTCATTCCCAGGAGTTGAGAATAGGGAAAGAGGGCCGACAGGGATAGGAGAGCTCAAGGATCAAGGTGATAAGGATATGCGAAGAATTTTGGATATCAATACTGTTTCTGTTGCATGACTTTTTCCATTCTTGGCAATTCTTATTGTTTATTGCTGACAGCTCTTCCACCATGTATAATTTGTTTGGACTGGAATTTAAAAAGTCATCACAAAGTCATTCTTTTTATGAATTTATTGATCATACTAATCATCATACAAAAAAATGAATACTGTACCTGAGATCATCACTTTGATCAGTGTTATTGTGAAGGTCAGAACAACTCTGATCCAACTCTGACTCCAGAAAATCACCAGTTGATTCAAGTAAGCCTGAAGCCATGACACTGAAAGGTTAAAATTAACAAGTGTCAAATGAAAATTCAGAAAATATCTCAGCTGAAGATTCAAGACTGGTGAATCACATGTGATCAACAAAGAGGACAGAAATAATAATCCTCGTAGAAAGATCATTATACTTAATAAAAGTACATGTAAATTTAAAGATTAGTCATGGTTAACTAAGATCATAGCTGTCATACAGTTTGCTCCTCCAGAAAATATTCACACCTCTCCCATAGAAGGTTAGCTTTCCTTGGAGTGGGACTATGGATAATTTCAGTAACTGCAAATGGTACATGTAAATAAGATAAGGTTTGCTTACGAGCCAAGTGGCCCATCAGGCCAGAGCTTATCCCCGTTTCTGTAGCATTTAGTGACTAGTAGCATGAATACGACTAGTCGAATCCCATGTGGAGATCTGACTGGGATCCCTGGATGGGATATTAGATCATTGCAGGATCACCCCCAGAATTAAATTCACCACNCCCCGGATGAAATGCTAGTCCATCACAGGGTCACCCCCTAGCATTAAATTTGCCGGTACACATTTATACATGTTGTTGGAGAGAGGCACTTTGATCCAGTAAAGTCTCTTGCTTAAGAACACAACACAATGTCCCTGGCCTGGGCTTGAACCCTGACTGTTTGATCTAGAGGTGAGTGCACTAGCCATGAGGCCACCATGCCTTCTGGAACTACACACTGTGGTCACTAAATGAAGGTTACTTTCAATTGTTAGTGGCTTAAACGAGTCTACATCAGTGCATGTGAACGCTCTGCTAGGTTTTGGTCAGTGTTATCAGCCTCAGCTGTTACTTTTGGCTCATAAAGTAAACTTACAGTGTCCTTGATTATTATACAAATTAAAAAAACATCATTCAGCGATAAATATTGTTCAATTATGTCTAATATTCCTTTTCAATCTTTCAAGTCTGACCAACTATCCACACAAATGTACACCATTACATTCAGGAAATATATCCCCTCACCAAAATCTTGTTCCTCCTTCCACCTCACCACCTCTGATGTGACGACAGTGTTTCTTCACAAAGTTCCATTCTTCTTCAAGAATGTTCTTTAATCCCTTAGATGCCTGGGGAAGTCTCTGAACTAGATGAATCACATTGTGCAAGTATTCAAAATAAACCTATAAGGACAAAAGGGGGGAAATTAATTTTTGTGAAAGCAACAAGGTGGAGTGCATTTTAAATCAGAAAAACTCCCAGTGCGTAGATCACAAAACATTTTTCCACGAAGTTACACCAATAATTGAATTCTGGATATGTTTCACCTCTCCTGGGCTAACAGTCAATGAGAGTGTACCACAAATCTCCAGGATAAGAAGGATGATACATTGTACCTTCACTCCTATTTTGGTGACTTTTTTTGTGAAGGGTTTGGAAGGGGGGGGGGGGGATAAGAGGACGAGAGATCTGGCATGTTGTTTAAGGTTTTTTACAAAAAAATGTTCAAAAAAATCAGCATTTTTGAGGTTGGGATCATACATGTTTGTATGTTTTTGAGAACTGGGCTGTGGATCATCAAAAGAGCAATGGAAAATCTTTGAAAAACTTCAGAAAGTGGTTGGAAATCTTCGGAAAATCGTCAGAAATGTTGTTTTTAGTATGTTAATAAATAAACAAAATAATACGTGGTTGCTTGTAGTTACTGAATTTCTCTTCTCCTGTTCAACTTAATTATATCTCACTTGTTTGCTGCGTTCACTCATGAAACATCGAGATGAACATGTGAAGAGAAATTCCATATCTAAGCATGCCCATGTATTATTCTCTATTTAAACTACCACATCTGTGTTTGAAATACTTGAAGCCTTGACTTAGTCTTATGAAGGGAATAACAGTGATGGCAAAGAAGGCTCAAAATGGCAGGGATCACAAAAAGTCACAATGGACACACAAGAAATGAGCAAGTTTTATTAATCTTTTATTAACCGGAATATTGAGTGTTCTAAATCGACCATATTTTGTTGCCCATACAGGTACAATCCCTTATAAAGCATTCAAATTCTCAAGGGCTCCTTGTGTAACGTAACACTGAGACAGTTAAGACTCACTAGGAATCCAGCCTGGACTCACGCAACGCACATGTGACATTTTCATGAATAAGTACATACATGTCCTAGAATTAATTCATTTTACGCTCTTCTCGAGACGTGAGCATGGGACACCTGTGATCTAACCTGCCAAGCTGCTGCTGATAATTATCAACTAGTCAGAATAATTACAGTAAAAACGACTTTATTTCGCATGTAACAATCAAGTCTCTATTACCTCAAGCAAACTCTGGAGATCCTGTTCAAACCCCTCAATATCACTTTCTGTGATTTCCTTGCTCAAGTCTTCTGTGTTTGCAATTCCATCCACAAGATCGAGATAGTAGTCTTTGACAAGAACGCCACCTAACAACACATCCTTGCATTCTCGCAACAGCTATGTAGATACACAAGAAGGTATGAATTTCACACTTTGAGCCAGTGAAGGATGGCTCAGTGAGTACTGAATTACATTGTATTAACTCTTTAACAGCAAAATTTTAATATTGAAGCCAATGTTTTTATATAGCCCTAGCCTGTAGTCATAAGTTAGCCCACACTATGCTTGCAATGACAATTTTTGGTTAACTGTGCGTTTGCACTTCCTATGAAATTGTAGACTGAGACACAAGAAATGATGTACATGTACATTTACACTGTAGGAACATGAGCTGTATGCAAGTGTTTCCAAGGCTTTTTGGAATTTTTCCATGTGATAGAAACTTGGATGCTAAAATCAGTTAAAATCGTTTCTATTTCTTATAATTTAATACAATAATTTCTTATACTGTGCTAGGAGAACTGAGCAAAATCAGTTGTTATAGTGAATATCAAAACATAAATTCTCTTTGATTGCATAATCAATACATCAACAGCTCCCACTGATTCAGCATTTTTTTAGTGAATGCACTGTGCATGCTTAGTACAACATAAGTACACTTCATCCCTCTCTAAGGCAAACTACATGTACCTATGTGTATGTTTACCTGTCTCACACTCAAAGATGATGGCTCTCCTTTCGGTCGATGCTGTAGTCTCAATCGCAGACATTCATGCACTATGTCCAGTGGAACACGGGACAAAAACAGATACAGTGAGCGGAATGAAGGTAGACCAGCCTTCTTGAACTCATCACTCCACGTCCTTTGTTCTGAATTCTCTCCTCCATGACACATTGTTTTAAAGCTGTGGGGATGGCAGCTACAGCAAGCTGCTTGTTCAGCTCCTTCTCCATTCAAAAGTGCCTCCAAATAATTGACAGACCACTGTCTTTTCTGAAACACACCAGGTTCACAACACTGGCACTCATCATCCTCACAGCTATTGCCTGGAAGAGCTAATGCTTGTTTAGCTTTCATCATACTAGTGTCCAAGATATTATCTAGTCTCTTTCCAAGTTTAATCAACCCCATCTTTTTTATGCTGTGGTCGACAAATGGTCTGTATCTTGAGGTGGAGCTCCACACAAAGTTTGACATGTTGCTGCTTGTCCTTGAGGGTCTCGCAGGAGTACTGGTTTGAGACTCGTATGAGACTGTTCTTACAGGGGATGAGGGTACACCATTAGATGGCCCCTCATTTTCACCTCTCTCGTTTTGACTCTCTGTATGAATGTCATCATCATCAGCACTATCATCACCTTCATCATTGTCAGATGATGAGAAGAATGTTTCATCAATATCTTCATGGTTCAGATCAGATGCAGGACACACACTTTCTGCATAAAACAATATCAAAGTAAAGTTATTATTATATGCTAACTGAAAAGTCATTGCATTTCGTTAAGACATAATGAGCCTAAATGTATTTATAGTTCTTTCAATAAGATTCAAAGTACACTAGAATCTCGATTTTTTTTTTCAATCTCAGAGGAAAACAAAAACTAGTTTGAAAAATTTGGTTGTTTCAAGAAATCTGAGGTAATTATACAGTGTTTGACTGAGGGGAGGGAAACAACTTTTGGTTTGAGTTATTGTGAGAATTCAAAAAATTGAGGGAATCCAACATACTTAGGTGGCTTTCCTGGTACAGCACCCATCAGAGAGCTATAAAAGAGGCCTGTAACAACTTCCTTTACAATTAGCAGGCCAATTTTTGAAAACTGCAAACACTATACATGTAGCTGACAATTTACAACAAAATACCAACCAGAGTTCTAGAGAGTGTCAGGTCTTATTGAAAGCACCAGTGTATACTGTAAGAAAACTAACTTGTAAGAAAGAATTCATCAAAAATTTTGGTGTGTGACCAAAGGATATAAATCAGCAAGTCTCTTTCTTTCTTCAAACAGTTACAGCTTCAAGGAGAGAACAGCTTCACTTGAGAATGAAATCAAAAGATGCATAAAATATTCACTGCCATGTCAACAGTGAAAGGCAATGTCATCTCAGGGTATATTGCATTAAAGGCTTTTTTTTTTTTGACAATGAATTTTACAACAGAATTGTAAGACTGGTGACTGGCAACCATGCACAGTGCTATCTCCTTAATGTGCTTTTAATTAATACTGTACCTAGTCTTCCAAGACCAACATCCAGCCAGTCTTGCCAGATGCTTGTCTCAGCAACATTCACACCAACAAACTTTGCTATCAAATGTAGCTTGTGGTATAACTCTCTAGTCACATTCAACCACAAGCACATTGTCTCAAAGTTTCTTGTGAATTCTTTGCTTGTGTAGTTTGGGTGTTGTTGTCCTAAGGAGTGACGAGTGGGGTAAAGGTTTTCCACCATTTCAATCTTGTCAAAGAGATCAGTTACTTGTTCAATGGCAGCTTTTAGCTGGCAACATGCTTTTTCTGGCAAAGTCTCCCTTCCCTGTTTAAGGCCAGCTTCATCAGGGTGAAGTTTCTGGTTCCTATGACGTAAATCTAAAGACAGTCGTCTTTTTAATAATGTGTAATCTGTTCTATTTGTAGAAGGACCATTGACAAAGTCATCTGTCTCAGATGAAAAGTGTCCATTTGCCTCAGTTGTGGAGTCTTCTGTCTCTTGGGAGTGCAGTGAATGTTCTATTTGATTACTCTCACAAGAGTTGTGCATTGATGAATTATTCCGACAAGACAGCTTTACTGATGTCTCTGAATCATCATCGTCTGAGCAATGCACATCCTTGTCATCACTGCTGGAATTCAAATCTCTTAAGATGTGATTACCATTTCCATCATGGCCACTTGGATCATTTTTCTGAGCATTCACATGAACCTGTTTCTTGACTTTAAAATTCACAACCTCATCCAACACCTCCTCTACATTGGCACGTGCCTGTATTAAGTGCAGATCTTGTTCTTCCATGGTTTTGTTCGCATGCCATGCTTGCAACTCTAACCACAGTGCTTTTGACAACTCCACCTGGTATTTTTTGCTCTCTTCTGAGTTTTGACTCTCCACTACACTACTAACCCCGTACTGCTTCTCTTGTTGTTTATGAGCAAGTGAGCCGAGCTTGATAAGCAAAGAAAATGTTCTGTAAAACTCCATTCGTGCCTCTGGACAGAACGGATTGAGGTAATTCCGAGATGACGAGCTACGGGGATCGGATTCCGAGCGAGTGGCTTTCCGATGGCTTCGAGTTATGGTATCTTTGATGGAAATTGATTTTGTGCGGACAGTACCTGAAAACCTGCACACATTGCTGTCGGTCGAATCTTCAGAAACACACTCCAAGGACATGAATCGACTTGTGGACTCGATCTTGATGCTGGGAATTTCTAAGGATTTTGAAGTATCTGGCGTATGAGCGGCACCATCAATGCCAACAAATCCCACATCAACGCTACCTCTTTTGAGCTTTCTCTGGAAAGCCCTTTCGGTCGTCAGCTGAGTAGAGCCTCGCTTTTTCCGTCTGTCCAGTTCCGCTCTTTCGGACGGATTGGATTCGCGTGTCAAAGGGCTCTTGAAAACCCCTTGTACCTTTTCTTTGTCCCTTTTCGACTTTTCCTTCTGCCTTCTAACATTTCTTGGCGGAGTGACACCGTAGGGAAACCCGTCGGACAACTCGTTCTCCGATGACAAATCAACAAGTTCCTCTCGTTCGGAGTCAAACTCGGAACCTGAGCCTCTGTCATCCCCACGAATTCGTTCAACTTCTAAGCTTCCCTGCTTTTCAAAAAGTTCTGCTGGGTCGATCTCATCGCAAGGAGAACCAGTCACTTGTTGTTGGTCATCCAAGTAGTCGTCTATCTCCGCCATTTTGTTTGTGAAGTGCACAGCAATAGTTCCCAGTTCCTTAATTTGGCGGGCAGATCCACGGGTAGAAACCCGCGGGCATGCCCGTTAACATTTCATTATCTGTCCCGATTTTCCTTAGATTTGATATGTGGACGATCAAGTTGTTGCAGATGACACTGTTAGCTAAAATTGAAAGCTTATGTTGGAACAAATTATTCTTGTCTTATGCAAGTCAGATTCAAGTCAATCTTTTTTATCAGTTTGTGTATGTCTTGTATATAAAAACATCAACAATAAACAAAGTTTATATATCTTAAAAAATATATTAATCAATCTTGAATTGGCTTTGTCATTTATTAAATTTTGTAACATATTTTATCAGGGGGCCCCAAGTTTGTTTAACACAGCATATTAGATGTATAGACCACTTTTGTGCCTACTACTTGAAATTATGCACTCCAGATATATAATATATATATTTTTTAAATGTGTGTCACAGTGTCAAAAATGTTCTCCTGGTTATTAGAATTGCTGATCTGAGTAACGATTGTAATTACATGACAGTGTGCATGAAATTCCACAACCTTTAACCCTTTCCAACTGTTTTTCATCTCAAGCGAAGTTAAGTCAAGAATGTTGTTGATTAATTAACACTCATTGGAAACAACCAGATTCTTTACATGTGGTGGATGTGGTGCAGTGAGATGCCATGAAGCATGACTTCATTCTATGAATTCCTGCATGACTCCACTTTATGTGTAGGTTTCATTAGTCAAACTAAAAGATCTTAGATGGCATCAGACAAACTGACTGCTGGATGTTTTTGTCTTAAGTTACAAGGCACCAATCTTACCCTAATGAGCATCAGTTTGCAGAAAACATTCATGCCCATCCCATTAAAGGTCACTGGAAAATATGAGGGGTAGGGGTCTCTGAAAGCCCAAACATCTTTAAAGAAAAATATGAAGTATAAGAGGGGAGGAGTGGTTCAAACCAAGAAACATTCCATAGGGAGGGTATGGTTGCTGGTATTCTTTGTGAGATCCCGATAGCCATTTAATTTTTTTTTCCATTAGAAACTCGTAATTCTAATTTAACTCAACTGCAATGAGCTGATTGCTTAATCATGTGATTCTGTTTTCAAGTGAGGAAAGGCATGCTTTCATCTTTCTTGATCTGACAGATGATCTGTGACATATCTTAGACTATATACTGACAAAATTATGCAACAAAATTCTCACTTTCAACTGCACTTTATTGTGTAACATTACATAATGTAACTCACTTTATATATTTCTGTACAGTCAATATTTATATTTTGTAGTTTTTACAATATCAATCCAGTATCATTTGTCTATTGAGGTTCTGGTTAAATTATTTACTATCAAATCTATGATCTACTAGTACTAATTCATTTTCAAGCTAATTTTTCAATAAATAAAATCTGTTAAATCTACAATAATGTTTTCATGTATGATATAAATTAACAATATTCATGCAATATTATACAAACTATTCAAGTCTGACTCTGCAAATACAACTTACATCTTTGTACAATGTGATATGAATATTATTTTTCTTATTTTCCAATATTTTGTGGTAATTTTTTATGTACAAATTGCAATGACTTGGACCCTGCCAGACACAGTTACTGCCAATATAGAAAAAGTGAAAACAAAATGTCATCAAAACTTGATATAAAAAAAATTTAAAAAACTCCAAAATTCACTGCATAAAGGTCGTGTTGCCAAAAAAGTACCATATAAAGATTGCACCAATGATAACGAGAGTAGTTAATGGAGGGATTTTTCTATACAAAAATGTTGAAATTAATGACGGATTACTTTGTCTGGGAGAAAAAAAGGAACTCCGATTTAAGGCTCATTACAAGATCTCCCATTTAAAATCTCCATGGAAACTTCAGGAGACTTATCTCGTTTTTGTATACAATCGACAAAAAGTAGTCCACAAAAAGTAGTCCACAACAGGATGAGATAGCACTTTGCGCGTAATGAGCAATTTTCCCAACTTGGGTTTCCAGTCACGGAAGTCGATAAATTTTCGCGCAATTCTTCGGAAGCACAAACTTTATATTTGAAACGATTACTCTTTTCCGAACTTTGTTCATTTTGAGAATAAGGCCACTTTTTACGAATTAAAAGCAATTCACAGTTCTTTCTCACGGGAACAAACTACGTAAATGCGTTGTATTGCCTCGTAAATGAAATTTGCAAATTTATGCAAATTTTGTGTCGTCGTGACAGCCACTACAAAATACAACAACATACACGGAATTTCAACACGAAACGGTCAAATGTGTTGACCTTGAAATTTCGTTCTACATCCGCAAAGTGAAAAAGTAAAATTCCAAGTTCAAGTCGTGTTAAGTTATTTTGGGACTTTTTGTGGAAAAATAAATAGTAAACTATTGTTGTATAAGACATTTTTTTACACTTCATTCCTGATGCGTAACTGTAGAGTTTCCTACGTGCAGACGACCAAGTTGACAAGTATGCTGAAACAGCAATCACATAGTTTCAATTTCGTCCACAGTTACTAAAACTTCCTCTGCACTAGGTCTAGAAGACGGGCTCGCGTCCCACAATAACCTCATAAGTTCGATGTAAGCTGAAGTGGCCGGCTCGTTTGAAGCACTTGCCGGCAAGTTCGCTAGCGACGGGCGCAAATGATACGCCACAACTCCAAAAATAACAACAAAGTGACTTTCAAGTCCATAAGGATGTTCCCGAAAAAGCATCTGCCACAGGCAGATCCCAAGCGAGTACATGTCCGCTCTTACGCTCGGTAGCTCGCCTTTTAACAATTCTGGCGCCCTGTAAGCGAACGTACCAGTCAGCAAGCTTTTAGGGCTTGGTGATGGGCTGGGTGGCAACGCTAGTTCGTTTTTGGCAGTCAGCTCAACGCTCTGACAACACCCAAAATCGCCAAGTTTGCAAAGATCTTGACGATCGACGATCACGTTTGCAGGTTTTAAGTCCAAATGAACAAGACCGTTCTCGTGAACGAATTTGAGAGCGCAGGCAATGTCACGTACAAAGTGCCACCTTCGAGCGCTTTCCAAAACTTCTCGATCATCGTCAATTATAGCCTGCAGTGTCCTGTGACCGGCAAATTCCATAAGAATCCAGACATCTTGCAAGTTTTCTCGCTCAAGAACAGCTAGTGTTCGAACAATGTTCGGATGTTTCAACGGCAGAACCAATTTCTCTGCTTGGACACTTTCGAACATTGCGCACGGATTTTTCACGTTTCGGTGCATTTTCTTAACGGCCAGCTTTTTACCTTCCAATGTTGCTTCGTAAACAGTTCCAAATCCACCAGATCCGATGGGCCGACCGATTTCACAAACACTATTTGGAATCATTTCCTTGTCGATTGCCTCCGCAGCCTGAATTCTGCACCTTGCACTTTCGTTCGTGTTCCTGCAAAGTTCGAACTTGTTCGTTTTGCACGAAAAGTTCGTTGAAGCAACACAAATGCAACGGTTGCACTGAAATGGTTTCACAGTCAAGCCAACTTCTTCGAAATCTGCTCCTTTACAGGTGTCAAACATGTTTGCTTGCTCGCTTGCATAAGCATAGGATGAAGTTCGATATTTCGGTTGTACTTTTATACGGACTACGCTCGCTGGATCACTAATGACGTTCATATGACCAAGAATCAGTGAAGTAATCGGTTATAAACAAATGCCAAGTTCGATCTGGGTGAGCGCGAAACAGAGCACCGGTAGACGACAACTGCGTTTCTGATTGGCCGTACTGACGTCCTATTGTATTTCTGACCAATGAGAAGGGTTTCTAGAAAGTTTCCGGTGCGCTCCGAACGTGACTTCCCAAAGGGGAACACACAAGGTCTGCCACGCGAGGGACGTGTTTAAGATCGTTCTAAATTGGTCTTTATTCAGCTCTGCCAGCTCTACTTCCGAGGCGCGAGGAAAAATAGCCGTGCGTAAAAGGCTAGAATCATTTCTGCTCACGATCCATTCGAGTATAATTAGATCGGAAGACTGAGTAAGAATTTTTTATGAAATTTGGCATTGAAAACCCCCGCAATTGTCTCTACTGTCGAAGCAGTCGTCGATAAATTTCAATATCTTAACAGTCATGAAGGTTATCAGAAACCTTTTATGGCACAACTAAGCCAAATTTTTAATTATGCGATTTCAAATATGTATGCGTGAAATATAGCACTTCAATTATAAAATGTATCTTGAGAAAAAGGGTCAATTTTTATACTTCCCCCACCGCGATATCCTATTTTTGGCCTTGAGTTATTTTACAATATCCCGGGAACTTTTCCGAATTCATCACTGGCTAAAAATAATTGCCAAAGTGTCCTAGGGTAATTTTTGGGGATAAAATATTTTGGTAGTATTGGCGGTCTAGATATTTTTTATTACGAAGTCCCATTTTATAATTTTAATACAACTGGCACTAAAACAACTCCAGGAAGAAACTCAGAATTGCACGACCGCTGTCCATTTCACTTCTTGGATCGCTCACAAATATATATTAAACGTCCGGTTTTAGTGAAAGAGGGGATTTCCCTTTCTAAGAGTTCCTAGAATTATGTTAGCCAAAGTGGTCAGAAATTCAAGTCACATTGTAAAAACAGCTCATTAAAAATCTATGCACATTCGATGCAAATCCGAGTGTTACGTAAGCGTTACATAATTTGTGTTAACAGATTTTAGAACGTCAGCTGACTTTTCAATGCCGCATCACTTAAATCACGCGATTTTCCCACGAGACTGTCTTAAAGAAACGCTCCAAATCGACTAACAATAAAATGTCGTGCTGCTGGGGAGTCTTTTCTTATGCAATTTCTTTTTTCTGACGAATAAACCAAGAAGGAAACAATCTGGAGATATTTCAACTCTAGATTTTCGATGAGCTCTTCCTTGTTGTGCTACGCTTTCCTTGTTTCGTTGCGTGACACCCCGGGAACGGAAATGCTTATTGAATTAACATGACATGTACATTTATGATTGTTCATTTGCGGAGTAAGCGATGACGGCGTTCGTAAATCATGTCTTAAACTTCTCGTTGTATTATGTTGGCGAAAAGAAACTTTAAAACCGTAATTGGACGATTTATGGAGTTTGAAACGGGAGCTCAGTAGGTGTGTCTGACATGAGCTCGCGCACGCGGGCGGCCAGATCCAGGCGCTAGGCGTGTATACGCAGATAACGCACAAACAAACAATTCTTTATATGCTGACTCTCGTGACCCAAGAGACAATTCTGAAAATAAGCAGAATATTTGACACCCAAAGATAAAACTTTTTATTTTAATGAGTCATTGCACGCAAAATCAAGGCACTTAGTCGATTTCATTTTTTCTTTGCCTCGGCTCGAAGTTGCGGCTCTCGAAGTTGCAAGTTGCAGCTGTAGCTGCAACTATAATGGGCAAAAAATGTTCTTGAACCATTTAGATTGTACAGAATGGTTTTTGCTAGTGTTTTCAGCGCGCACAGACAAGGTCGCTCTCTCGTATTGGAGTGGCAGTTTTTTTTGTTTTTTTTCGGGGTCCGTGAGTGGAAAATGACGGATATCACGTGCGAACTCTAGCTGAAGTGTAAAGGTTGACGGTGGGGTCAAATTGCGGAAGCTGTTGTTAAGCAGTCTTTTGTCCTCAACTTCTCTGTTGTACTTGTGCACGTGAGCAACGTGCTGTTTATCTCAAGGAAAATGGCACTTAGTGCGATCAGTACCAAAACGATGAACTTGGACTTTCCAGGGAAATGCACGCGTATACTGAGCAAATAGAAAATACTAAATACGATCAATAACATATCATTTGTTCTAGACGTCCTGGTCCAGACATTTTTATCAGCAAAAATAAAGCGCGATTTGCGTTCGGTCGGCCGCTGTAAAACGCAATCCCGTTTAATGAAGCTGAGAAGCGTTCCTTTTCCGCTGTATAGCTCATGAAAGTTTTCAACAACGCTCTCCCTTCTAATAGGCCTAACAGTGTTGTGTGTTATTGTAAATGCTGGTGCTCCCAATTTTTTCAATATTTTGAGCGATTATTTCGTGTAGTTGCTGGCAGATAACTCCGCCGTTGCTTTTCACTCTTTGATATCTATTTTTTATATCTAATCAAAAATCTTTCCAGCTTCCGAGGTTTAGATCTTGTTTCTGATTCCGTGTTTGTTTGCGTGACGCAGTTCTGGGAAGAGTTCTTTGCATGTACTTGTCAAACGCGAGCGGAAAGATTGATGATCCCCTTATATTTGCGGGTGTGTAAACTAGGTGTTTGAATATATAATCAGGCCATTAACAGGAATATGCAGTATAATCGTTTCCGAAATTCCTTGCACTTAAATATTTATGTTACCCNTCATGTGATTCTGTTTTCAAGTGAGGAAAGGCATGCTTTCATCTTTCTTGATCTGACAGATGATCTGTGACATATCTTAGACTATATACTGACAAAATTATGCAACAAAATTCTCACTTTCAACTGCACTTTATTGTGTAACATTACATAATGTAACTCACTTTATATATTTCTGTACAGTCAATATTTATATTTTGTAGTTTTTACAATATCAATCCAGTATCATTTGTCTATTGAGGTTCTGGTTAAATTATTTACTATCAAATCTATGATCTACTAGTACTAATTCATTTTCAAGCTAATTTTTCAATAAATAAAATCTGTTAAATCTACAATAATGTTTTCATGTATGATATAAATTAACAATATTCATGCAATATTATACAAACTATTCAAGTCTGACTCTGCAAATACAACTTACATCTTTGTACAATGTGATATGAATATTATTTTTCTTATTTTCCAATATTTTGTGGTAATTTTTTATGTACAAATTGCAATGACTTGGACCCTGCCAGACACAGTTACTGCCAATATAGAAAAAGTGAAAACAAAATGTCATCAAAACTTGATATAAAAAAAATTTAAAAAACTCCAAAATTCACTGCATAAAGGTCGTGTTGCCAAAAAAGTACCATATAAAGATTGCACCAATGATAACGAGAGTAGTTAATGGAGGGATTTTTCTATACAAAAATGTTGAAATTAATGACGGATTACTTTGTCTGGGAGAAAAAAAGGAACTCCGATTTAAGGCTCATTACAAGATCTCCCATTTAAAATCTCCATGGAAACTTCAGGAGACTTATCTCGTTTTTGTATACAATCGACAAAAAGTAGTCCACAAAAAGTAGTCCACAACAGGATGAGATAGCACTTTGCGCGTAATGAGCAATTTTCCCAACTTGGGTTTCCAGTCACGGAAGTCGATAAATTTTCGCGCAATTCTTCGGAAGCACAAACTTTATATTTGAAACGATTACTCTTTTCCGAACTTTGTTCATTTTGAGAATAAGGCCACTTTTTACGAATTAAAAGCAATTCACAGTTCTTTCTCACGGGAACAAACTACGTAAATGCGTTGTATTGCCTCGTAAATGAAATTTGCAAATTTATGCAAATTTTGTGTCGTCGTGACAGCCACTACAAAATACAACAACATACACGGAATTTCAACACGAAACGGTCAAATGTGTTGACCTTGAAATTTCGTTCTACATCCGCAAAGTGAAAAAGTAAAATTCCAAGTCCAAGTCGTGTTAAGTTATTTTGGGACTTTTTGTGGAAAAATAAATAGTAAACTATTGTTGTATAAGACATTTTTTTACACTTCATTCCTGATGCGTAACTGTAGAGTTTCCTACGTGCAGACGACCAAGTTGACAAGTATGCTGAAACAGCAATCACATAGTTTCAATTTCGTCCACAGTTACTAAAACTTCCTCTGCACTAGGTCTAGAAGACGGGCTCGCGTCCCACAATAACCTCATAAGTTCGATGTAAGCTGAAGTGGCCGGCTCGTTTGAAGCACTTGCCGGCAAGTTCGCTAGCGACGGGCGCAAATGATACGCCACAACTCCAAAAATAACAACAAAGTGACTTTCAAGTCCATAAGGATGTTCCCGAAAAAGCATCTGCCACAGGCAGATCCCAAGCGAGTACATGTCCGCTCTTACGCTCGGTAGCTCGCCTTTTAACAATTCTGGCGCCCTGTAAGCGAACGTACCAGTCAGCAAGCTTTTAGGGCTTGGTGATGGGCTGGGTGGCAACGCTAGTTCGTTTTTGGCAGTCAGCTCAACGCTCTGACAACACCCAAAATCGCCAAGTTTGCAAAGATCTTGACGATCGACGATCACGTTTGCAGGTTTTAAGTCCAAATGAACAAGACCGTTCTCGTGAACGAATTTGAGAGCGCAGGCAATGTCACGTACAAAGTGCCACCTTCGAGCGCTTTCCAAAACTTCTCGATCATCGTCAATTATAGCCTGCAGTGTCCTGTGACCGGCAAATTCCATAAGAATCCAGACATCTTGCAAGTTTTCTCGCTCAAGAACAGCTAGTGTTCGAACAATGTTCGGATGTTTCAACGGCAGAACCAATTTCTCTGCTTGGACACTTTCGAACATTGCGCACGGATTTTTCACGTTTCGGTGCATTTTCTTAACGGCCAGCTTTTTACCTTCCAATGTTGCTTCGTAAACAGTTCCAAATCCACCAGATCCGATGGGCCGACCGATTTCACAAACACTATTTGGAATCATTTCCTTGTCGATTGCCTCCGCAGCCTGAATTCTGCACCTTGCACTTTCGTTCGTGTTCCTGCAAA